TCTGAACTTACACTTGTGGTCCATTAATATTAATACCTTGAAGCAGTAAGGCTTAGATGGTTTATAAGTGAAGGTTAATTTTATGATATTTGGTGTCTAAGAAAACTGTCATGTTCTCCATGCTTTGTACTGTTGCTAACCACAATGTAAATATAAGCAGTTGATATTTTATAAATCTCCAATGTTAAAAATTCATGATTTGTAACAGCTGAAAGCTCATAATCTCTGCTTTGCCATTTAGCGATTGCTTTCTGCCTTTGTTTTCTGGGTAGCAACCAAAACACTATAGACTTTAGAGGAAGGAAATCAAAGCAAATGGTAATGACATTGACTGAATTTTAAAGAGATTTTCAGTTATTGTTACCTTTTAGCTGTATTACTGCTTTGGATGTGTGTGTGTTGAAAATTCCTATAATCTTAGACTCTTCTTATTTTAAAATTGAATGGGTTTGGGACTACTGCCCCTTGTTGAATTATGCAAGTTCTGGAGTCAGTGTCTTCAGGCAACTCAGCATGCTTAGTGTATTAATGGTTAATTTTTAAAAGCATTGTAAAGGAGTTGTATTACTTACGTGTGCATGCATGTCTACATGTGCACATGAGCCTATGATGTGCAGGAGGGGAGGAGCGGAGAGTATTCCACTTGATTATTATTAAGTCATTTTCATTTAGAGTTTGTGGTTAGAGAGGCTTACTAGCTTTGCTTCAGTTTTCTGAAGCTACTAGTGCTGAAAATCATATGGGTCCTATGTTTATTATGGTGGTCTTTCTGTTATTAGACACAAAATAGCTTACAGCACTTACTATGTAATTTTTAATAGTATTACTACATGAAAATGAAGATGTTAGTCATTCAGTCGTGTCTGACTCTTTGCAACCTCATGGACTGAAGCCTGCCAGCCTGTCCAGGCTCCTCTGTCTACTGAATCGGGTAGCCATTCTCTTCTCCAGGGGATCTTCCCAACCTAGGGATTAAACCCATATGTCCTGCGTTGCAGATGGATTCCTTACCATCTGAGGCACCATGTCCTCCCTAACCCCCCATAATTACTAGAGTATAAGTTCCTTTAGAGCAGGACTTTTCCTGGCTTATTCAAAAAATTATTCCTAGAATTTTGAAGAGTATCTAGCCCATAGTAGATGACTGATAAATATTTATTAAATTAATGAATATGTTAGCACTGTCTAATGTATTATGATTGTATGCAACAATGGTTTCTGATGACAGATCTTACAGTGCTGTGTTGTATTTGCTGAGCTCTTATATTATTCAGAACCTAATGTTTATGTTAATCATCAGGCTGTTTTGGGAAACAATAATTTCTTTGATATAACATCTTTTAATCAAGATTTGAGATCAAACAAGTTTTAAAATAAATAAATTCATAAATATTAAAGTAATTCTGAAATAAGAAGTTCATAATCATGATCTCCTCATTGCAAAATTCAGACTTAAATTGAAGAAAGTAGGGAAAACAAATAGACCATTCAGGTATGACCTAAATCAAATCCCTTATGATTATACAATGGAAGTGACAAATAGATTTAAGGGATTAGATCTGATAGACAGAGTACCTGAAGAACTATGGATGGAGGTTCGTGACATTGTATAGGAAGCAGGGATCAAGACCATCCCCAAGAGAGAAGTGCAAAAAGACAAAATGGTTATCTGAGGAGGATAACCTTACAAATAGCTGAGAAAAAGAGAGAAACTAAAGGCAAAGGTGACTGTAGCCATGAAATAAAAAGATGCTTACTCCTTGGAAGGAAAGTTATGACCAACCTAGACAGCATATCAAAAAGCAGAGACATTGCTTTGCCAACAAAGCTCCATCTAATCAAGGCTATGGTTTTTCCAGTGGTCATGTATGGATGTGAGAGTTGGACTATAAAGAAAGCTGAGTGCAGAAGAATTGATGCTATTGAACTGTGGTATTTGTGAAGACTCTTGAGAGTCCCTTGGACTGCAAGGTCCAGCCAGTCCATCCTAAAGGAAATCAGTCCTGAATGTTCATTGGAAGAACTGATGTTGAAGCTGAAACTCCAGTACTTTGGCCACCTGATGTGAAGAGCTGATTCATTTGAAAAGACCCTGATGCTGGGAAAGATTGAAAGTGGGAGGAGAAGGGGCCAACCGAGGATGAGATGGTTGCATGGCATCACCGACTTAATGGACATGAGTTTGAATAAACTCCAGGAGTTGGTGATGGACAGGGAAGCCTGGCGTGCTGCAGTCCATGGGGTTGCAGAGTCAGACACGACTGAGCGACTGAACTGATACTGATACTGAAAGGCAAAGGAGGAAAGGAAAGATGTCCCCATTTGAATGCAGAGTTCCAAAGAGCAAGGCGAGATAAGAAAGCATTCCTCAGTGATCAATGCAAAGAAATAGAGGAAAGCAATAGAATGGAAAAGACTAGAGATCTCTTCAAGGAAATGAGAGACACCAAGGGAACATTTCATGCAAAGATGGGCACAATAAAGGACAGAAATGGTATGGACCTAACAGCAGAAAATATTAAGGAGAGGTGGCAAGAATACACAGAAGAACTATACAAAAAAGATCTTCATAACCCAGATAACCATAATGGTGTGATCACTCATCTAGACCCAGGCATCCTGGAGTGTGAAGTCAAGTAGGTCCTAGGAAGCATCACTACGAACAAAGCTAGTGGAGGTGATAGAATTCCAGTTGAGCTATTTCGAATCCTGAAAGGTGATGCTGTGAAAGTGCTGCCCTCATTATGCCAGCAAATTTGGAAAACTCAGCAGTGGCCACAGGACTGGAAATGGTCAGTTTTCATTTCAGCCCCAAAGAAAGGCAATGACAAAGAATGTTCAAACTACCTCAAAATTGTACTCATCTCACACACTAGCAAAGTAATGCTCAAAATTCTCCAAGTCAGGCTTCAATAGTATGTGAACCGTAAATGTCCAGATGTTCAAGCTGGATTTAGAAAAGGCAGAGGGACCAGAGATCAAATTGCCAACATCCGCTGGATCATCAGAAAAGTAAGAGAGTTCCAGAAAAACATCTACTGTTACTTTATTGACTACGCCAAAGCCTTTGACTGTATAGATCACAACAAATCTTAAAGAGATGGGAAATCTAAGACACCAAGCCTGGCGTGTTGCAGTCCATGGGGTCGCAAAGAGTTGGACATGACTGAGCGGCTGAACTGAACTTGAATTCCACAATAAAAAAATATCACTCATTGCCTGATGTTCTTATGAGGAATAGACAATCTAATGCAAGACAACTGAACCTTTCGTAGTTCAACCAGCTTACAAAAAAGTGTGAGATTTTATTCATCACTTCCATTGGTATCCTAATTGTAATGACATGTTACCATCATTTTTTATGCTTAAGAAATATAATATTGATGGAATCTTGTTTGATGCAGGGTCAGAATTTATTACCTATAAAAATATGGTACAGTTTTTAACTATTATTTCTAATAAACTATTGTTTCATTATCCTTAGATATAATTAATTTGAAGGTGCTGTAAAATACAACACATGGTGTCCTGTGTGTAGCCAGTCATTGTGGTGTAGCATTTTCTTTATGACTAGTATCACTCTTCAGTGGGTATGTTATCATTGTCTCGGGATGCTGGCACTGTAGTGGAAGTCAACTCAAATTGGCTATAAAATCACCTTCTTCAGTAGAGGTCAAACCACTTTAAAATATTATCTCAGGGCTTTTAGCTTATCAAAGACTTATTGGAAAAGCGATTTATTCTTATTTAGCAGACAAGAAAATGGCAGCGTTGACAGGGCAAGTCAATTGTGTAAGGTCAGTTGAAAAATCACTTATATGGGGGTGAGGTGAAGTTTCCAAGGTTGCAGTCTGCCTCCCCTGGTGATCATTGCCTAAGACAGACTGAAGAAACAAAAGTCAAATGTTTACCTCCCTTGGGTAGAAATAATAAAGTTGGTGCTGATATGCTCATGCCTTCAAAATGTATAAGTTAAACTACATACATGAGTTGCCTGAATGTATTTGGGAGCTTTTTATACTATGCCAATGTGTTGACCTGTGTGGGATGGTAGTGAAAATAAATTAAAATCAGGTTTTCAGGGTAGTTGTGATAATAAAAATGAATTTCTAATTGCAAGAAGTATCTTCTTTGGTATTTAACAAGCAAAAGGAGAAGTAACAGAATATAATAAAGAGGTAATTAAAAAAAGAAAAATATAACTATATTAAAGAATATTGAGAGTAACTTTAAAAAATATGTAAAAACTAAATAGTACCCTAGGAGAGATCCAATTAGAAGTGGATCAGTTCAGTTCAGTTCAGTTCAGTCACTCAGTTGTGTCCGACTCTTTGTGACCCCATGAATTGCAGCATGCAATAGTGAATTAAAATTATTAAATGGCTATGGTTGGCCTCATATCATCATCTACTCCTTTATAAGTTGTTTGGGGAGACCTCTAAGTTGGCTTCTAGCAAATTTTTTCCTTCCTTATTCCCTCCTCCTTTCTTTTTCTCTTCTTTTCTTTGCTTACCATAGTTCAGTGTTTCCCAGGTGTGTTTTCCTTGCTATTGTCATTTTTAATGGAGATCATGAAAAAAATGCATAATGTTAGAGATTCATAGCAACCACATTTCTCATTTAGTCTGCCAGACAAAATAATATATTTAATTGCTTGGAAAATAGAAGACTGCTATTATTGATTTGAATTTTATATATATATACATACATATATATATATATATGTATGTATATATATGTATTTCTAGTCCTTTATGTTTCAAAACTTAAGAAAGGAAAAGTTGCAATTTAAAAAGCTTTAGGATACAGTACTGGAGCAGATCGCTTGTCTGATGCCTGGGCATTTTGTTTATTTATGATAGAACATGGGAACATACTAAAACTAAGATACACTGAGAGCCCCGTTTTATTGATATTGCTATGTTAAGTGTGTAAGCATTGAACAGGCGATGACGTATGAGACGTTTACCCAGTGACGTTCTGAATGACTCTCGTTGTAGGGGAAGCCGGTGGGAACGCCAGATGCTGGCGCCTATTTCCGCGTGCTCGCGGAGCACGGAGTGGCTGCCTTGTTCACGGCGCCGACGGCAATCAGAGCGATCCGTCAGCAGGACCCCGGGGCAGCCTTGGGGAAGCAGTACACTCTGACAAGGTGAACTTGGGATGCACAGGGCAAATTACACTGCAAACTGCAATCACAGTGAATGACTGAACACTGTATGTTTTTTCTAGCACGGCAGTACCATTATGGAAAAAGTCGAAGGTTCTGAATGTTAAGAATGGCTGTTGTAAATGTATTTTTGAAAGAGTTGAAAATTTAGCTATACTGCAAATATTTTTTTTTTTTGAGCATGGATTATTTTATTGGATGCTTTATAAAAAGTCCAAGCACACACATACTGCACCCCCACCAGGAAGGGAAGGGTTCACATTACTTGTTCTTATACCCTCAAGATAAGCCTCTCCCCACAAATATTTGTATCCCAGCTACAAAAATGGAGTTGCAAAGAGTATATATAAAGATATGATATTTTTCTTGCTCTTGTTATAGTACAAACAACTGAAGGTGACTATCGATCCGTGAGAGTAAGAAAGGGGAAAATCACTTGACAAAGGGATGGAATGTCTGTTACCTGTAACAAGTAGCTGACTCATCTGCTATTAACAGGCACCTACCCTAAATTATAGGGACCCGGGCACATGAAACTTGAGACGACACATGCGGGGCCCCTGCTGATTACACTTCTTCCAGAAGGCACGTGATTCCGCACCCTTTCTTCATCACTACCAATTAGAGGAGAACCCAGTACTTAAGATTCTACCCACTGAGGTATTAACTGCCATCAAGATTAGTTATGTCCAAGGAGCATGCAATAGAAATATTTTTTAATACCAATATTTTTTAATGCAAATGTTTTTTAATACCATGTCCTGTTTATTTCTGTTCAAATTTTCTCAAAATAGTTCTCTTTTTAAAATCCCTCTGCTTATGTTTTCCTTAAAGCAGAAGGCTATTTGTGATTTATACATATATGTATATGTATGTGTGTTTGTAATCTAGTTCTTTACCACTAGCGCCACCAGGGAAGCCCCACTCTCTCCGGTAGTAAAGAACCCACCGGTCAATGAAGGAAACATAAGAGACGCAGGTTTGATCCCAGGGTCAGGAAGATCTCCTGGAGAAGGTCATGGCAACTCACTCCAGTATTCTTGCCTGGAGAATCCCATGCACAGAGGAGCCTGGCAGGCTACAGTCCATAGGGTAACAAAAAGTCGGACAGAGTGAAGCGACTTAGCATGCACATATATAGAAATATATATGTGTATATATATATATATATATATATATATATATAATATCTACCTTTTGAAAATTAATAATCTGAATAGAGGGAAAATACTTGATTTTACTTATAAAGATAAAATGTGCAAATTATAGTCCAAATTACCTATGTTGAAAGAGTGAAGGAAATTATTTTCCTGTTGTTTTGTAATAATGTGCTCAGAATAGTTTAGATAGTTTTGTGCTGGTTTATTGCCATTCATTTTAGTTTAATGATATGTACATTCAGAGATAATTATAGCAATTTGTGTCTTCAAGGCAGTTTCCAGCATCAGTTCTCATTGAACCTTTCTGAAATAGGTCACTGCTATCATAAACTAAAAGGATTTTGTAGTTTCTTCAAGTCAAAAGTGGTTTTAAATTAAGTCAGTTTGAAATTTTTAAATTAAATGCCAGATGTTATGAATTTTATGCTGCTGTGGCCTAAAGAAGGGTTTAGAACAGATACCATACAACAATTACAGATGTAAGCAAGAATATTTCAGTTTGGGCAGGGTCAGTGATTTGGTTCATTTGTTTCTTTTTGGGGAAAAATAAAGGATCTGAATTTACATAAAATGTTCTTAAGATGAGTACAGAATGTGTTCATAAAATAATCTTACATTGTATTTCCGTTCACTTTATTTACTACATTGTGATTTGTTTTCTCCATTTCGGTAAAAGAAGAGAAACATAGGTTTTGGTAAAAACATCTGAGGCTGTGTATAGTCTCCATGTCTTAACACAGCTCCAGGGGTTTTGAGGAAATAGTGACCTTGTTCTTGCAATGTCCCTTTTCTGACAAATGCATTCTGATTACAGGCCAAAGTCTGTTGTTTGCTACATCATCTTTCCCCATTTGTTACGTGGGTTTCAGATGATATCCTTTACTATAAAGGCAAGAAGCCATTTCTAATTTGCCTCAAGTATAAAGCATCAAATAAATACCAAATGAATACCTATTAAGTCACCAATAAATGAATACCTATTAAATGCCAGATTTAATAGGTATTCATTTGGCATTGAATGAATTTCAATACCAAAATACCAACTCTTCAGAATGAATAGGTATAGACATAGAGTATGAGATTTTAGTCCGTGAAATTTTAATGTAAAAGAAATTGCAATAAACTCCCCCGATCATGCCCCTTTGTCTTTAGGCATTTAAGTTATTCACGATGATAACTTGTGAACCTATGTTTTAAATATCTCTTTAGGAATGCAGACTCTAAAACAGCTGCAATTATTCAAAAATGCAAACACTTGCTGATCACCTACTATGTACTAGGCATAAGCAGCCAAAGTTTGTTGTCTCACTGGTTATCACAATAAGTAGGAATTGTGATTATTCTCATCTTATAGGTAAGTGAGGTTAGGGCCAGAAGTTCAGTGACTTATTAGGAAGAAACTCACTCAGGTGATCTAACTAGAGCCTATACTCCTTACTAAATACCATGAAAATAACATTTCCTATGAAAAGTAAGTTAGGAGACTAACTTGACCTAGGGATTTTTATCATTCATGGGATAAATACAGCTTTTCCTTTTCATATATTTATAGTCTATATGAATAGTACCTTCACTGACCTGCTTTGATAGATTCTGACTTGTGGACTAAGAGAATGTTAGAAGAGACCTCCAAAATCCAACTATCCTACTGTAGGCAACCGAGGTTCAAAAAATGTTAGGTTTGGATTAGAGGCAGAATGAAAACCAGAATCCAAGTCTTCTCATACAATTATACCTTTAAGTTTATATTTATGTTCAAGACAATTTCATGCTGACTTACTGAGTGGACATTTCTTAGATATTATAATTGCAGCCTCATGATTAATTTGCAGTTTGCTTCTCTTTTCTTTTACAGAATGTTTTGTGATGGTATTTTCTTTTTAAATGTTACATAGCTCATCAAAGTTTGTTTTAAAATAAATTTAAAGATGTTCCCTTAAATTTAAGAGGGTACTCTGAAATAGGTAACTAACCAGAGCTATAAGTTATTTTATCAGACAACTAGAATTTGGAAAAATAGGTAAGACATCATTTAGTGAAATCATTTCATTTCACAGTAGAGAAGACTTTGCCACAAAGAGGTAAAATAACATTCCCAGGATTACAGAGCTACTAACAAAGAGGTAAAATAACATTCCCAGGATTACAGAGCTACTATAGGGCAAAAGCTGGGCTAGGCAGTACTGTATGGTAATTTGGATTCTGACTATGGAGTTAGACTCCCTGGGTTCAAATCTACCATTTACTGACTATGTGGCCTTCAGAAAGTTATGTAGTCTCTCTGTTCTTTGTGTGTGTGTGTGTGAATTAGTGCAAGAATATAATGAAAATAGAAGGTACATAATCCATGCAGAGCACTTGGAACTGTTAACAAAGACTGTCTTAGCTTTTATTATCTTGTGCTTTCTAATTCACTGCTCTTTTTCATACATCATAGTGATTTTTATTTCCCCCCATGATCTTCTAGCTCAATTTTAGTAAAGTTAGAAAAATAACCTGTGCTGGGATTTTCATTCAGGATAGCACAGTACCTCATACTTTGATGTAGCCTTTCTTTTCCAATTACATAGCAATGAGTTAATATGAAAAAGAAGAAGCAGAGCATCAGCGCTGAGCTGAAAAATAAACTTTTCTGTGGACTAGAAATGGATTAGAGTGGCAAAATGGTAAGGGTGGCTGAAGCAAGAGGCTTGCTGGGCGTACAGGCAGGTGTTGGCAGAGTAATAGGGACTCAGTGCTGCCTTGTACTCCCAATGGAGTCAGAGTTTGCTCAGTGATTGAGGATGGGCTTGAGGATGGGCTGGGGTGTTAACACGCCACTCAGGAAAGGCGGCTGATAATAATGACTGTCAGTTGTTTTCTGGGACTGTGACTTACAGCAGACGTTGGTCTAAGGATCTGAATGAGACAAAGGTCAGCCCAGCAATCAGAGACTGAAGCAAACTGCCCATCTGTCATCCTGGAATAGGATCTGTGATATCCCAAGTATCACTCTGGATTAATAATTCTGAACCATCATTATGGCATTAGATGTCACCAACCTATTGAACAGAGAAGGTGAGCATGGGAAAGAGAGAGAGAGATACAAATAACAACAAAGAACCTCTATTTTGAAAAGATTGTGGGAAATAAAATTCCAAATACATGAAGAACTCTAATTAAATCAACAGAACATGGATTTATTCCAGTTGACCTTATTTTTGTAATATAGTCAAATCAAACTTGAAAATAAGTATTTTGAGGAGAATCAATCATAAACTAATCACTTTTATGTAAAATTATTAAACTTGGATATGAAACAATAAAAAGGTACAGTGGATAGTGTAAACTAAATAAATAAATAAATATATGGACACAATGAAAGATTCTGTTAAAATTATAGGATATTACTGAGGAAATTACTCAGAATGCAAAACAGAGAGACGACATAAAAAATCTGAAAGAACAGTTAAGAGACTTGGAGGGAAGAATCAGTTCTGTTTGAACAGAAGCCAAAATAACAGTAATAAAATGGTGGAGAGTTTTTTTCAAAAGGTTATTTGAATTTTCTAGTGGGGAGAAACAGAAGAAAATAGAATGAAGGAAAAAAATGGAGATAACCACTGGGACATTGATGTAAAAATAATGATGTTCTGTTGTGTGAACTAGAAGTTGATGAGGTATTACTGAAATAATACATTTTATTTAAGCTATGTTGGCACAAGTGAAGAGTAGTTTTCTCTAGTTTGGTAGTTTATGGACCTTGAAAGAAATATTCATTTTAGTTTTCTTCTGCGTATACTTTATTACCAAAAATTCTTCACTGTAATTTGGTTTTGGCTT